GGAACTGGTGGTCTGGGCCGTGCGTAAGGGTCTGCTCGACGATTTCCCGGACCCAATCTAGCAGGACCCGAATAGCTGTCCTCAATTTCGCATCCAGTCGATGCTTCGCCAAGTGGGGCCCGCCTCTTGAACCTACGTTGAGCCTCTTTTTTCGACACGAAGTCAAAATCTGAGGGCAAGTCAAAATAAGCGGAAACTCAGTTCTGAGAAACGGACATCGCCAGAATAGCACCGGCCACTCGCCCCAAAAGAAACGGCAGAAGACGGCGCGGAAAGTGATTCGGCCAAAGCCAGTCCATCTGCGAAGACAAAAAGAAGTGCCGAGGGAACAGGATCGAACTGTCGGACACGCATTTCAGTGCCGTGCTCTACCACCTGAGCTACCTCGGCGCGGACTTACATTATCGAATCCGTCGCGGGCACTGTCAAGACTGTCGTCCACGGACGCCAGTAACGTCATGTCCAATGGCCGCCCGTGCAGAGACAGCTCACGGAGAAGTACTCAGTCTCCTCACCGGCAGACCAGGCAAGAGCCGATTCCAACACTCGATGTTAAACACCGCGCAATCCTGGACGTTCTGGCGAGTCCACCCGCTTGGTCCCTTTGCCGGAAGCCTTCTCCTCAAGTCCTCTGTCCGGGCCTGCAAATTGGCCTCTGTCAACGCATCGATGGCTACCAACACGTAATAGCGGATGGGCTTGTCGGCCCGTCCCGAAGCCCATTCGTACAGAAGTGAATCCCGGTACTTGTACTTAAGATCCTCATCAACACGTCCGCTGGAGAAATCCTGCACAAATTCCTGGCGGTCCTGGTGGCTGCTCAAAGGATGTTCAGGGTCTTTGAATTCAATGAACAGGTACATTACAGATAGTTCGACAATAAAGTCAACCGCTTTCATGCAATGTGAAAGACCGTGGCTGTTGTCGTCGAATTTCCGAGGTTTCAGAGAGGCATCAATGGAAATCTGCAGGTCGCCCTCCGTGAAGACGGTCACTTGATGATCCCATCCAGAGCGCGCCTCACGTCCCGGTCGTAGATGCCACTGAATGTGTCCGCGATCGCGTTGTGGTGAATCTGCGAATAGTTCTCGGCAGTCTGGCAGGCAATCTCGCCGCTCTCCGAATCCCGATACAGCGAATGAAAGGCCACCTTGTCGCCATCCCTCGCTTGCAGGTCAAGCTCCTTGAGAATCACGTAGTCGTGCGTAGCCAGAAACACCTGCACCCCAAGTCGCTGCAACTCCAGCAGCACGTCGATCACCACCCCATACAGCTTCGGGTTCAGATTCGTCTCCGGCTCATCCCAGAACAGCACCGCTCCAGGCTTGAGACTCCCATTGCGTATCAGCAGCCAGAGCAGCCCCAGCTTCCGCAACCCCTCGGACAGCAGCGTGAACTCAATCTCGCCCTTATCGCCGCTCCTCCCCGTGGGTAATGACTTTCCCGCCAAGCTCGGCCTCCAACCGCTCCGTAACCGCGGAAGGAACAAATTCCTCAGGATTTCTAAGGGAATCAAGATATGCCAAGTCGAGTATATCCTTGTAGGTTTCTTCGAGGTGTATTTCGCGCCTCGCGTAAAGCGACCTGAATCCCGGAGCGTTGGCGAGCATATCCTTGGCTGGAATATAGACACACTCTATAGGCGAACCAGTCCAGTCCTTTGACTCGTCTTTAACTGTGGTTGAACCAAACATATACCAGGGCAGTAACACACTGAATTCGGATTTTACCCGTGATAACCTAACCTCCGCAGTCTCGCTTCCGCTACTACGGTTCACTAATCTCTTCAATCTCTCCGACGGGTTACCGGACGGCAGGAACACCCCATTTAACTTTGCGGCAAAGGGATCTCCCGTATAAGAGACATCACACGCCGCATAGCACACCTTCATCAGATGCGTCTTCCCTGTCCCGTTAGCCCCCACCAGCACGTTGATCCCCGGCGACGGCTCCAGGTCCAGGCTCTCGAAGACTGTAAAGTTTTCCAGCTTCACTCTGGTGATGGTCATTCGCTATTCCCCATCCGGATGATGCTCTGATCCCCAGTATAACCAAAAGGGGCCGGTTCCCATTCGCCTAGGACCGGCCCCTCCTGGGACACCCGCTATGTCTTCGCCTTGATCAGGACGTTAGCTAACCGGATGAAAGCAACTCCGCAAGAATTCCACCCACCTCATCCCGTTCATCCTGTCCATCGATGTAACCTACCCCAGCGGCTTCTCCTCCACGTTGAAGTGCGGCATCACGTCCTCTCCGAACCGCTGCAGCTGCTCCAGCATCACCTCCAGCGGCGCTCCCATCCGGTTGCAGCCCACGTGCATGTGCTCCAGGCCGGGGTACCGCTCCTGGATGGCCATGATCTTCTCGGTGACCTGCTCCGCGGTACCTACCAGCCAGGCGTTCTGGCTGCACGATGTCCTCCATCGTCGGCAGCCCAGCGCCCCGGGCCCGCCGCGGGTCGCCCAGCGCCTCGATCTGCGACTCCGACAGCGCCCGGAAGAAGCCCAGCGGCGCGAACATTTTCATGTCCTCTTCCAGGTACTTGCGACCCTGCTCGATGGCGTCCTTCTCCGAGTCGGCGATGAAAGTCGGCAGGCCCGATGACCAGCCGCCCGCCCGGCTCCACGTTGTGGCCGTGGCGGTTCACCGTCTCGGTCCAGCGCATGATCACGTCGTCATTGGCGCCCCCGGTAACCGCGCCGCCGCCCATGATGCCCTGGATGTCGTGCTTGGCCATGAAGTCCATCGCCCGCTGGCTGCTCGACACCATGGGCTGCCAGCACTCCACGGGCTGGTTCTTCGGCCGCGGCACCAGCGTCAGCTCCTTCAGCGTGTAGCCCCGGTAGGGCACCTCGGGCGGCAGCTGGTAGTGCTTGCCCTGGTAGGAGAAGGAGTCCTCGTGGAAGGCCTTCATGATGACCTCGACCTGTTCCTCGAAGATCTCCCGGTTCATCTCGTTGTCCGAGTTGGTGCTCGGCACCCCGAAGGTGTCCACCTCCCGCGAGTGGTAGCCGCGCCCCACGCCGAAGATCACCCGCCCGTCGGTCAGGATGTCGGCGGTGGCGTAGTCCTCGGCCAGCCGCAGCGGGTGCCACATCGGGGTTGATGTTGAACCCGCACCCGAACTTGAGCTGCTTGGTCATCTTGGCCAGGTGCACGAACAGCATCAGCAGGTTGGGGATGACCTCGTTGCCCTCGTGCTGGAAGTGGTGCTCCGCTCCCCAGAAGCTGTGATAGCCCAGCCGGTCCATCAGCTTCGCCATCTGCTCGCACCGGTCGAAGATGGTGATGAGATGGTCGTTGTCGAACCGACGGTCGTTGAGCGGCGTGGCCTCCAGCCCCAGATCGCCCAGGTCCACGTGCCCCGCGTAGAGGCTGCCAAAGTGCTTGATCATGCGAATTCCCTCGTCCCGTTTAAGTGCGTGCCTGAAATTGTAGCCGCGCCGCCCGTCCCCTTGTCAAACCAAGCCTGATGCAGGCCGGCAGACCCGGTATTCAAGACTATACACCCCACCTCTGCCAAGGCCGAATCCAACCCCGCCACTGCAAACCCAGGACGATTGCGTCCTCAACGCCGAAGGCCCCATAAGTCGCCACTCCCGCGCATGCGGGAACCCAAACCCCCGTCTACCCTCGCACCCGGAACCGCGCACCCGGAACCGAAGGAGGCACCACCACTCCCATCCCCACCGCCATTCAGAAACGCCAGAGGCCCCATAATTCGTCATTCCCGCGCAGGCGGGAATCCAAACCCCCGTCTACCCTCGCACCAGGAACCGCGCACCCGGAACCGCGCACCCGGAACCGAAGGAGGCATTGCCACTCCCATCCACACCGTTGCCAACTCGCCCGCAACCCTGCTAACATACTGATGGGCAATTAGAACATTAATTCCCCATCGCTGAAATCGAAATCAACCGCGGAGGTCCCAGGAAACCCTATCGCCGTCACTCTCGCACAACCAGCCACCCCCGCGATTGCGGGGATCCGGTGCCCCGAAATCACCGAGCTAAAAAGCCGAAATGTCAGTAAATGTCAGGATTTGTCAGTAAAATCAATACCCCTGACATCATAAGGAGCTGAAACCATGACCTTCGCCCGCCTCCGCCGCCAGGTCGAATCCCTCATGCACAAGTCCGCCACCGAACTGACCGTCTACAAACTCCGTCCTCACGTCGAAGAATACTGCGACCAGTGGGAAGAATCCGTCGCCCAGGACCAGACCCCTCCAAGCCCAGCACGCTTTTCAACAAGCTGATGCAACGGAGCGTCCTCCGTCGGCGCTTCCCGGCCGTCTACAACTACTTGGAGGAATGACGCCTGCAGCGTTGGATGCCCCATCCCAACAAGATACTCGGATTCCACCTACCCAAGGCCGCCACGCGAGGCCTACTGCCCAAACCCCTCAAGCTCGAACAATACTGAAAGACCGTCTCCACCGTCATCCCCGAGCACATCACCGTCACCCCCGCACCCAACTGCCATTCCCGCGGAGGCGGGAACCCAAACCCCCGTCTACTTGCGCACCCGGAACCGCGCACCCGGAACCGAAGGAGGCACTGCCACTCCCATCTCCACCGCCATCCTCGCCAACACGCACCCCGGTTGACGCTCCTCCAACCCAGCCGTATCATCGCGGCAAATCCCCGTGATGCGTAAGGAGACCAACCATGAAATACGACTACATCGTGGTGGGCGCCGGGTCTGCCGGCTCCATCGTCGCCACCCGCCTCAGCGAGGACCCCTCGGTGTCGGTGCTGCTGCTTGAAGCCGGCGCCGACTACCCGGAGTTCGAGCAACTGCCCGACGAGGTCAAATTCGGTTACGCAACCGCCACCGACGTGATGACCAGCGACCATAACTGGCAGTTCTGGGGCAAGGCCTCCGAGACCGCGCCGCCCATGATGGTTCCCCGGGGCAAGGTGACCGGCGGCTCCAGCGCCATCAACGGCCAGGTATTCCTGCGCGGCGTCCCCCAGGACTACGACTCCTGGGCCGAGATGGGCAACGACGAATGGAGCTTCGTCAAGCTGCTCCCCTTCCTGAGGCGCATCGAAACCGACACCGATTTCCCCGGCGATGACTTCCACAACTCCGATGGCCCCATCATCGCCCGCCGCTTCAAGCGCGAGGAGCTGCTGCCCGACCAGTCGGCCTTCTACCAGGCATGCCGCGACGAGGGCTTCGCCGACGTCCCCGACCACAACCACCCGGAAGCCACCGGCGTCGGACCCGTGCCCTTCAACAACCCCAACGGCATCCGCTGGAGCACGGCACTGGGTTACCTCGACCCGGCCCGTCACCGGCTCAACCTGACCATCCGCCCAACTGCCTCACCCGCCGCGTCATCTTCGAGGGCAAGAAGGCCGTCGGCGTCGAGGTCGAGAGTGGCGGCGAGCGGTTCACCGTAGAGGGCGAGCAGATCATCCTGTCCTCCGGCGCCATCGGCTCGCCCCACATCCTGCTGCTGTCCGGAGTCGGCCCGGCGGCCCACCTGGACCAGGTGGGCATCCCCGTCGTCCACGACCTGCCCGGCGTGGCAGAACCTGCGCGACCATCCCATGATCTACACCACCTTCCGCACCAAGCCCGACTACCGCTGGACGGCTTCGCCCCCCGCGTGCAGATGACCCTGCGCTGGACCGCCGAGGGCTCCGACCTGCGCAACGACATGATGATCTTCATGCAGTCCTACGCCACCGAGCGCGTCGACCGCGGCGGCGAGCGCATGGACGCCCTCGGCATACGCATGCTCAGCGTGCTGGACTTGGAACTCAGTTCCGGTCATCTCGAGCTGACCTCTTCGGACCCCAACGAGCAGCCCTTGCTCAACTACAACTACATGGAGGACCCGGAGGACCGCCGCCGCCTTCGCGACGCCGTGCGCCTGTGCGCCCGCCTCGGAGAGCACGAGGCCTTCAGCGACATAGTCCAGGAGCGCACAGAACCCACCGACGAAGAACTGGCTGACGATGACGAGCTGGACGCCTGCATGCTGCGTGATGCCACCACCGGCCAGCACATCTCCTGCACCTGCAAGATGGGCCCCGCCAGCGACCCCATGGCCGTGGTAGACCAGTATGGCCGCATCCACGGAATGGAGCACATCCGCGTCGTAGACGCCTCCATAATGCCCAACTGCATCCGCGCCAACACCAACGTAACCACCATGACCATAGGCGAGCGCGTATCCCAGTTTATAAAAGACGGCCGCTAGAGTTCGTCGGTATCGTCAATCGAATGAAATAACAAACATGGATGTACAGGATGAACAGGATTTGGACTGCCCCAATAAATCATCCTGTACATCTTGTCCATCGGCGTAAATTGAAAGTCGTTTAAAAGTCGTTTAGGTGGGAGATGTCTCAGAGGCACTATGGCCTGACAGGGGCCATCATCAAGTGTGCCTTCCATGTCAGCAACGAATTGGGTGCTGGGTTCCTCGAGTCCGTTTACGAAAAAGCAATGCTGGTCGCAATGAAGGACGAGGGAATTACCGCTGTTTCACAAAAGCCCATAGAAGTGACATTCAGAGGCCAAGGGGTCGGAACCTTTTTCGCGGACTTACTGGTTGAGGACAAAGTTATCGTAGAGCTGAAGGCGGCAAAAGCCATTACCCCTGAACACCAAGCTCAACTAATCAACTATCTGAAGGCCACAGGTATCGAGGTGGGACTGATTCTAAACTTCGGCAACCCCAAGCTGGAGTACAAACGCTCACCGCTCACGCCGCCCCGAATAAATTTGGCGAATTAGCATGCATGTACCGGAAGAACAGGATTTAGCTCGCCCCAATAAAACATCCTGTATATCCTGTCCATCCATGTTAGTTCCCGTGCCCTACAACCCGATCAACTCCCGGGCGTTCCCTCCCAGCATCTGCTCCTTGGCCGCGTCGGCAGCTGCTGTGGGCAGCGACTCGATGAGACTGTGGCGTCCTCCGCCATGTCCGCAGCGCGGTAGTCGTGCCGAAGCACACCTTCTCTGCCCCGTGCCGGCTGACGATGCCCGCCAGCGTCTCGCTGCCCAGCTCCTTCAGCGCCGGCGGCCAGGTGGTGTCGATGAGCACATTCTCGCGCCCGATGAGCTCCCTCTCCGCCTCGTCCAGCATGTAGAACCCGCCCAGGTGCAGGGCGATGAGCTTCAGCTTGGGGAACTGCCGCACCACGTTCATGATGCGGCCGGATCAGCCCAGACGGTATCCCCCGGCTGCGTGTGTGCCCGCGGCCGGAGTGGATCTCAACGACCATGTTGTCACCCATTCTCGTAGACTGGAACATCCGAGGGTCGTACCATGTTCTCCAGAACCGCCGGGCAATGTCGGTCGGGCCAGCTGTGGGTGTAGAACATCGATGCGCATGGGTTACTCGCAGCCTCGCTTGTAGGAACATTCACGATGGACCTTTAGCCCAGTGCCGCCGCGTGCCTAGCTTCTCCGCGTCACCGAGAGGCTTCGTCGCCAGCCACGCCGCCCAGGCCGTGCAACGGCCATTTGGCGCCGGCGTCCTCATCCGCCTGATCCGTGTCCCTGTCGCCCGCGCAGTAGGACGGCAGATCGATGCTCTTGGTTTTGGTCGCTGCCCTGCCGAGGTCGGCCAGATGTCCAGGGTGGCTGCGGGCAGCTGTGAACATCTCGGGAGACCACTCGAAACGGGATTCCAATCCGTCCGCCATAAGCCACCACGAGTCGGAACACATGGGGCGTTGCCCACCGACAGGAACACCGGGGGTGCCGTGCTTTGGTGCAGGATTTGGACAGACCTTGAGTCGCCTGGGAGTCGAATACTGCCCGTTTGATGTGTCCGCCTCCGTACTGGGTCCAAAGCGGCCTTCATCACCCGATGGCCTCGCCGGGTCTGCGTCCAGCACGGTGCTCGATAGTCGCCGCCAATTGATCTCGTCTCATCCCGCACCAGCGGCGCCTATGATGCCAAAGATGAACCGGGCCCCGGTGATGGTCGAGGGAGGCAATATGCTTGGCCTGCACAAGCGGCGCTGTGACTCAGGCACCATGGACGATCGGATAGTGCACTAAGCTTGATGCGCGTGGTGGTCGCACGATTGAATATGCCATGGCCAGCGCCGATGAACGGGTCACCACATATACAGCCATGGACGAGGAGGAATCGAACGTCCGTGCGTGCCGCGCGTAGCGGTGAGGTGGTGTTCTACTCGGGATTGATGTGGATGCTCAGGCATGCCAGCGAAGGAGTCGAACGCCGACTCTCGCGTTCGGCAACCTCCGCAATGTTCAAGAGCGTTGCTGTGTAGTGTCGTGCTGACTCCACCCTCCAGACTGGACTACTCCGTTCCACAGCCTTGGTTTTACCCACCGATCCGTCCGTTGATGACTAGCACACGGGCAGAGGGCAATCGCTGTGTTGGATCTATTGTATGACAGTCGCGCCGCTTGCCAACGCCTCTATGACAACACCGTACCATATATCTGTCGTATGACTGCCGCATCACAGTGCTCACCGGACCGCTCTTGCCTGCCATCCAGGAGGCCGTCTGGCCATCCACGGAAACACTGCGCGGCTTGTTGAGAATCGAGTAGTGTGGGACACTATGGGACAAAATGGTGCCGGATATTGAATATTTTCGCCGTTTGAGGAGGGGAATTCAGTCTATCGACAGGAACGTGAAATGGGACGAAATGGTGGCATATAGGGATCGCCAGTGGGCAAGTGTTCCCTCCCATTTCTCCTATTTGTCCTCAGGTACAAAGCGCGTTGTGCTCCCTGGGTACGCCTCTCAACCCTACCCAATAGTTGTACTTGAATCACCGTGTGGCCACGGAGAGATCGCTTTCCGTCCTGATACGTCTGATAGCCCTGCCACACGTGGTTGGTCAATCGTCGCGGCAACTCCCTATCGAACAGCACCTGACTACTTCCCAGAACACAGCCGCGTCTCTCTCGACAGGGGACGGAAAAAGCGTTGACGATTTACGGAATCGATCAAGACCTGCGTCGAGAAGTCATCGACTTCAGACGGCTCGCGCCTCGAGTATCGGAGTACTGTGGTCTTCTTCCTCGTTCCCTCTTCATTGTGTAGCTAACATCGCTGGATCCCAGGGGTCGTGAGTCATCGTACTCCATGGCAGTGTTGCTCTGCCCTCATATGGTGCAGGACCGTGCGTAAGGTTGCACGATCCCACAGCGACTGGAGCGGCTGCTCCTGCCGATAGGCCTACCGGTGGTCGTGCTACTATTGTGGCGCGTAGTGCTGAGTTTCGCCGCGCCTGCTCGTTCCGGGGAGTCGACTTCGCCGTTGGCGGATCCTGGCAGGCTTTGTTACGCTGTATAGTGTTCCTGGTGAGTCAAGGCAGCGAGATCCCGCTACAGACGCCTAATCCAATACGTCAGATCCACTCCAGCACGGTGGTCGCGCAGGCACATCCGCCCGCACAGAGCAAAGCCGAGACATCATTATTCCGCCCGCGCCATCAACCGAGACTACGACGCTCCCACCTTCAACAATGACCGCTAGCCACGCGGTCCTTCGTCGCGAGCTGCGGAACAGTCGGACAGCGACAGTACTGTCGCAGTGCGGCATACGTATGCCAAAGAACCGGACGCCGCGCCATTATCTGCACGTCGTGCTGACACCGCGTTTCGATCGGCAACGGTGCAGCACTCGAATCTGGGACGACGGCGCTGTGATCCAGTCGCACCGTCTGCATCGGTCGGCGAAACCTCTCTCAACTCCGAGGAAGAATCATGCCGTTCGAATACTGGTGGATTCTTTCTACTTGCCCTGGTCGCCTGGGGACTTGCTGCATGCGACCGTTTTTGCCTGGGATTTGGTGCATGTGGCCTTGTCCACACCTGGATCCATATTCTGATGCTCAGTGTCTCGCATTCTGTTGCCGGATATACCTCGACGGTGATGGCACGCCGCGACATGCGATGGCTGCAAAAGTACACAGGCCACTCAGCTGCTATGGCTTACTCCTCTGCAGGTTGTTCATCGTCTTGCGGTTTGTGGGTGCATCAAGTCCGACTGCGCTTCGTGGCATACATCCACACACCGTTAAGTTCGCAATGACGACGGGTTTACAGCGATATTCCGTTTTTTGGGTCATTCTAGCAGGAATCTGTGATCCTGGTAAGCTTGGTGGGAATGACATGTCATTGACACTCACCTGCTGGCCCTGCCAGGACCGTACGTCCCCAACCCTGATACGTTGCGCAGACCCTCTACGCATCGTCGAGTCGACGGGATGGCTGATTCGACCTTCGTGCCCACTCACTTATGCTACCTGAGGAAACTAGTTGAGGCCCGACACCGCCCGCCCACACTCAGTGCTGCGCCTGGTGATCAGTCGTCCTCCACCGAACCATGGTCAGCCAGCCAGCGATTCTGCAGTCAATGCGGATTGCAGCTGCAGCCGGAAGCGATCTCGTGTCTCATGCGGCGCTGCCGTATAGCCGCAAAACCCTCATAACATATCACCGGCCTCACCTGAAGTAACTCTGACCGAACGAAACCTGTGGTATGAACCGATACAGCAATCCTTTCGGCCTTCCGCAACTACGGCAATAGGACGGGCGAGCCAGCCGTTCTGAATACTGGTGGTTCTTCCTGTTCTTCGTGGTTATCCTGGTGGTCATCTTTATCGGCAGCTTGACGTGGACAGGGTCGCTGCTTTCTGTGTGGGTCGCATACCTGGTAGTGATGGCGCCGCCGCTCTGTTCCTTAACAGTGCGTCGACTCCACAACGTCAACAGGTCGGCGCGATGGGCAATCTTGGGGTTTATGCCTTTGGCCGGAGGCCCACGACGTACGAGAATGCTCGCCCGGCGCGGTACTGTCGGCCCAAACCCCTATGGCCCGGATCCCCTTCGCCCCGAATCTGAGGACTGGGTACAGCGACCGGTACGCAGGAGCCAGCGAGAATGATGGCGCCCATATTGTCCTGCCGCGATACGGAAAGGCTCCTTGTCTGCACCCAGCAGGTCAGCCGGTGGCCCAGCGTTTTCTGTCGGCAGAGGTACGCCTTACCAAAGCGTTCGGGGCCCGATTCGTCGTGATTTCAGAACCATCGCCATATGCCATCGCCTTGGTGCATGGCCCGGGAACAGGGTAACGGCTATAATTCCCGGAGCCTGAAATCGCAGCAAGTAGCAGCAAGTAGAGGTAGCGTCTTGAAAATCGACCCACAGACCTTTGAGAACTTTTACCGCGTCCTGACCGGCGTGGTGGTACCGCGCCCCATAGCGTTCGTGTCGACCCAGTCGCCAGACGGAGTGGACAACCTGGCCCCCTATTCCTTCTTCAACGCCGTTGCCTACGATCCACCGACAGTGGTCTTCTCATCGTCACGCCGTGTACCACACAAGAGCAAAGACACTCTGCGGAACATTGAGGAAACGGGCGAATTCGTGGTGAACATCGTGGTGGACGGCATAGCCGAGGCGATGAACCAGACTGCCGCTGAATACCCTGAGGACGTGGACGAGTTTGAGATTGCCGGACTGACCGCGGTGCCGTCTGACCTTGTAAAGCCACCCAGAGTAGCTGAGTCGCCGGTCAACATGGAATGCCGCTTGAACCAGATCATAGAACTGGGGGACGGCTCTGGCGGACACGGTCTGGTCATCGGTACGATCGTTCTGATGCACGTTCGCGACGACATCATCAACGGCCATCGAATCAACCACCACCTGATGAAGCCGACGGGCCGCCTGGCTGGCAGCATGTACTGCCACACCGACGATACGTTCGAACTGGTTCGACCGACTTACGATCCGGAAGAGAGCAAGGCTCTCTCCGGCTAGCAGCCCGTCTGAGGATTGACCAACTGGCGGTGTCGGTCAGCCGGGATTACCCTGCGGCAAAAGTTCTTGCGTGGTGCGGTTAGCCACATGCGGATTGTCGCTTGAAAATCCCACTGGCCATGGCCCGGCACGTCTCCCTGTTGTTCCCGGTGGGGCCTTTGCCCCTCACCTTGCCGGACATCCCGGCCCCGAAGCGGAACAGCTTCAGCAGGTTGTGGCCAGCGCAGATCAGCAGCCACTCCCGGTTCACCTTCGCCAGACCCCGCAGCAGGAACTGCCGGAAGCCACGGCCCTGCTTGATCTGGCCGAACACCGGCTCCACCGTCTCCATTCGAAGGGCGTAACGTTCCCTGCCCCGTTTCGTCCGCAGCTTGCGGCGCATCCGGTCCCTGGCTGACAGTCCCTTGGGTATGCGGCCGCGGGGCGCGGGTGGCGGCACCCAGCCATGGCGGGTTTTCTCCGGCGCGACGAACGGGTCAACTCCCAAGGCGCAGAGTTCATCCACCTCTTTGGCCGAGTAGTACCCGGCGTCGGCGGAGACTTCCCTTTGGGACTGTGCCCACGTTCAGGATGGCCTCCTCAATCATGCTCACGGCCTGACCCTTGTCCGAGGGCTGATCGGTGGCACAGGCCGCCACGATCACCTGATGCTCGCTGTCCACCACCGCCTGGCAGTTGTAGGACTGCTGGAAGTCCCTCCCTCCCGGGCCGGGCATGATGCGGGAGTCCGGGTCGGTGAAGTTCCGCTGCGCCTTGTCATCAGGCACCCCGGGATGATTGCGGCCCTCGGACTCAGCCTGCTCCGCCTCCGCCCGTGCCTCGGCCTCCAGCGCCGCCTTGGCCTCCCTTATCCTCCGCAACCGGCCTCCCGGAAGGCCAGTTCCTCCGGCAACTCATCCCCACGCCTGTCCCTCCCGTAGCGGCGGTCCTCCTCCTCGTCCACCTCCTGCGCCTTCCGGAGCAACTCGTCCACCTCGGCCTGCAACCGCTCCTCTCTCTCCCTCATCCGCCCGTAGCTCATCGCCTTGTGCTTTGAGGCATTGGCCCTCACCTTGGTGCCGTCCAGGGCCACGTGCCCCAGCTTCACCAGTCCTGCCTGCTGGCACAACTCCAGCACCTGCAGGAACAATTCCCCCAACGCCTCCAGATGGTCCTTGCGGAAGTCGGAGATGGTGCGGAAGTCCGGCGTGTTGTTCGCCGCCAGCACCCGGAAGGCGATGTCCTCGTGGAGACGCTGGGCGATGCGACGGGACGATGCCACGCCGGTGCAGTAGCCGTAGAGCAGCACCTTGACCATCATCCGTGGATGGTAGGGAGGGCCGCCCCGCCTTTCCTCCTCGTAGCGGGCGGTGATGGCCGAGAGGTCCAACTGGTCCACGACGTCGGAGATGAAATAGGCCAGGTGGTCCGGTGGCAGCCACTCCTGCAGGGCCGCAGGCAGCAGCAACTGCTGGTCCGGATCGTAGGGAAGGTAGGTCTTGCTCATTGACCGCTCCGCTCGTCTGATGCTCCGCCCCATCATACCCCCACCGGCTCACCACCCCTGTTTCTCGGACGGGCTGCTAGGGCCGATCTTCAATCACAACTGAGGGGACGCACGTTTGTGCGTCCCCTCAGTTGTGATTTCGAAACAGGACCGGCCCGGTTTTATGGGGCGCTTGCTAACGACTTCTTTTAGTAGGGACTTCGCGGGCGCTCAGGTGTGTCGTCCTCTTCGCTGCTGCTCGCGTCGAACTCCGTGTCTGCACTGAAAGCAGAGCGTCCTTCCCCTGAGAAATCGGGCTGTGCAGTTTCTGTGTAACTGCCGGAGGTGCTGGAGGCTTCCTCCACATATCCGGAGTATGTCTCCGCTGTCGCAGGATCGGGTTCTTCTTCTGCTTCCGAATAGGAGCCCGCCGTATCCGCAGCAGTTGCGGTCTCGCTGACTTCGAGCACTTCTTCAGGCTCAACCACCGCTACAGATTCGGCCTCAACCTGTTCGTAGTATTCGGGCTCCTCGCTACGGTCGAGCACAGTGCCTTCTGCGAAAGAGGTGCCACTCTGTTCCCCGTGGTAGCGGGCCAAGGCGTCCTCAAGGTGCCCGCGAAAGGCTCCCGGGTCACGCATCATCAGCATTACCCTGCCACCCGAAATCAGCCTTATGCGCAACCTCTCGCCCAAGGGCAAAGCCAGCAACTCAATGTGCGAAATCTCGGCAAACGAAATGACTCTTGTCCGCGGCATTCCATAGACAATCACCATGGAATCGCGATAGAGGAGGAACTGCCGAGGTGTGGTGAGCCAGCTGTAGATCGCCATTCCCAAGCCGAGAATTATCAGCAAGGGTTGTGTCATAACGATACCGAGGACTGCCACCACCAATGAGAAAATGAGCGTCAGGTTCCAGCGAGTAGCGCTCTGATCCCAATATATTGGATTTTCTTGCTGCTGTGTCATGTCGGGTATTTTAGCACACGGCTCACTCCCTTGCGCCTCCGGAGCATCATCATGTCACTTACTTTTGGGACCCGTTCTGCGGGTCCATTTTCTTTCACTACCACACCTTTTCCGCAGGGCAATAATGCCGACATTCTTTGACAATCCATTCGCTCGCTGATATGTTTCAACGCGGAATTTCGGATTCAGGACTGGTCTGGCCGGTTGCGCAAAATGCTGCCGGAACAGGACTGCGAGAGCAGCAGAAGATGACAGCCAACACCAACACAACTCGCACAGACAATTGGGCTCACCTCATCGTGCAGGCACTGAAGGACTGGGACATTTCGCTCATTGCCTACGTGCCCGACACTTCAATACACCGGGTCACCAGAATCATTGATGAAGACCCCTTCTTCCATCTGGTGTCGGCGACGCGGGAAGAGGAGGCTGTAGGCATTGCCGTCGGTTCGTACGCCGCCGGGCGAAACGCCGCCGTTTTCATGCAGACGAGCGGTTTCGGAAACAGTATCAATGCACTGGCCAGCCTGTGCGTACCCGCACGCACGCCAATACCATTCTTCATCAATATGCGTGGCGGTACCGGCGAGTTCAACATCTCTCAGGTACCGATGGGCAGGACGACAGTGCCCATCCTCGACCTGTTCGGCTTGGTCAGCTACACCATTGACGATGATTACCGGATGGACAACCTGCTGGACGGAGCAATGAAGCTTTGCTACGCCAATCGCCAGCCTGTAGCCATCTGCCTGACCCAGAGGTTGCACGGAGGAAAGTTTGCGTAGGTTCGATGCTACTCAATTGACGGTCCAGCTGGCCGGAGACCGCGCAATCGTAGGCAACCTTGGCCCGACGTCGGACGAGCTATGGCACGCCGGACATCGCGACCGGAACTTCTACACCTATGGCAACATGGGTCTCTGCTCCTCCCTGGCACTGGGGATGGCGCTGGCGACAGACGAGCAGATCATTTCGCTGGACGGCGACGGTTCGCTCCTCATGAACCTGGGGGCGCTGGCGTCCATCGCACGCGAGAAGCCCAAGAACCTGATCGTAGTCGTTTACGACAACGAGGAATGGGGTCAGACGGGGCACCAGATGAGCCACACTGGCACAGGCACAGACCTGGAACAGGTAGCGCTCTCGTGTGGCATCACCAGCACCACAACGGTCAATGACATAGAGGAGTACGAAGGGGCGCTGTCCAATGCCCTAGCCAGCGACGGGCCTCACTTCATCGTGGCGAAGATCGAGGAGGCGGGGTACCTGCCCGTGGCGCCGGTAGAGCCGGAGTTCACGCTCTATCGCTTCCGCAATACGTTCGTGGAGGGGCAACAGCCGCAGCCTCCGCAGTAACCGCGAGCACGAGCCTTATCCGGCAATATGAAAGCTAAGGGCGGGAATGAATCCCGCCCTTTCTGTTTGGTCCGAATCCGGGTATCGGGCTAGCTCTTGACGTAGTTGTCGAACCAGCCGAGGGTGCGGGCCAAAGCGTCGGCAGCGGAGTCCGCGCGGTAGTCGGGGCGCTCATCGCAGTTGAAGCCGTGGCCGGCGCCGGAGTACATCTTGAAATCGTGGGTAACGCCAGCGGCAGTGAGGGCTGTTTCGATCTGGGCAACGTCCGCCGGCGTGGGGTTGGCGTCGTCCTCACCGAAGTTGCCCATGACGGGCACGGTCGAGCCGCTGGTGCGTTCAGCGGGGGACGGGCCATCGCCGAATGGCACGAGGATACGGCCGCCGTAGTAAACAGAGGCGGCACTGAGGCCCGGGGCAACTGGTGGCGGCGAGGTAGGTGATCCGTCCGCCGACGCAGTAGCCCACGATACCGATCTTGTTGCCGCGGGTGCGCTGGTACCGGTTCTGGAGGTAATCGATGGTGACGTTGATGTCTTCGATCAGCTCCTCGTCATTGAGCGCGCCCATGTACTGCTGCACCTGGGGCATCTGGTCGTATCCCAGCTTGGCGTTTTGATGTTCGCGGTGGTAGAGGGAGGGGGCGACGGCTACGTAGCCGTGGCGGGCATACTCGTCGCAGACCTGCTCAATATGCCGGGTTACTCCGAAAGCTTCCCATAACGACAATGACGGCCGGGAAGCTGTTGCCTTCAGAAGGCGCAGGGTGGCTGACGTAGGTGGCCATGTCCTGGCCCTGGGCTCCGTACAGGCCATCCGCCTCCCGCTCGCCGGGGAATCTGATGTTCTCCCAGAATGATGGCATGGAACTCCTCCTGTTCTCAATCCGTAGTTCGGAGCCGACGGAGTCCGGCGATCAAGCGTCCTTCGAAACCACTGCCACACACTGCGGGGCGTGCGCCAGCGGGAGGAGGAAGCCACCGGTTCCTCGACTCTATGCGAATGGGATTTTAGCAGATTCGCAACCGCTGGAATAGCTAACGCCTCACAAGTTGCAGGGCCTCATGACAATTACAAAACGCGCAAACAGAAGCGCGAGCGGATGACGTCGTCCCAGCTACGCCATTAGCCTCTGGCGCATATCCTCGGGCACTGACTGCAGGCGGCGCCGGAAAGCGGTGTTCGCCCGGTCGGAGACGCGGTGGGCAGCTTCCTCCATCAGGGCCACGCCGCCCAGAAAATCGTCGACGTGAATGTACTCTGCCTCGATGCGACCTTCGGGCGCACCGTTGTGGTAGTTGCCCAGCGGAAACGCGATGCCGGTGGTCCGGTAGCCGTAGGCCGCAAAAGCGCTGGCCTCGCAGACGCCTCCGCTCATCAACTGACGCTGGGCGGCGAAACCGCCTTCCTGCTCGTTCAGCGATTCGCGAGCCCGAATGAGAACCGACTCGGCATCGGCGTCAAAGGTGGATCCCGCGTCGCCCACCCGGATGACCGGGCCCCTACCCTGCTCTGCGCCGGGCAGTGTGCGGCTGGACTCGGCGGAGATGACCAGGGTGCCCAGCGGCAACAGGCGAGCTTCGGCGGCCAGCCGTGCGCCGACGAGGCCGACCTCCTCGGCGCGGGTGAACAGGCCGTAGACATCGCCCTCCGGCCGGTCGTCGCTTCGAGACAGACGGGCGAGGGCAGCGAGGGCGGAGGCGCAGCCCGCGAGGTCGTCTACCGCTCGCATCCGGATGAATTCTCCGTCGAGTTCGAAATCCACGAGGTCGAACACCGCCGCAGAGGGCAGAGGCAACTCTGCTGCGATGCCGGCATCCGTAACGCGCACCAGGGCTTTGCGGTCCGATTCCTGGCCGATGGGGCCGGCGGTTACCGCCTTGATCCTGCGTCCACCGCACAGCAATACCTGCAGTGGCACCCCGGCGGAAAAGCTGGAGGCCGGAATGCCGCCGAGAGCGTCGGCCACGAACTCTCCGCCATCGCCTTGGCGTTCGGTAAGCTCGAATCCGGGATGGTCCATGTGGGCAACAACGGCCAGTGGTACGACATCGGGATTGCTGCCGGCCAATTTGGCGAGAATGTTACCGAAGGTGTCTATCTCACAGGACACTCCAATCTCGCGAAGGATGGCCTGGACTGCCGAGGATACCCCGCCCTCGTGATAGGCAACGGCGGGCTGGGATCCCAATCGTGACAAGAAACTGAGGGCCTCTTCTCTATCGTTCATTGATAATACTCCTCAGGACTATCCGCCATGAAATCACAACCGTCCTGACTGCCGCGATTGGCCGCAGCGGACCCGGGACGGGGCCTGGATTGTCTGCCATCCACCCGGTCCGTCCGGGAGGAAAAACCAAATAATCCACTCATTTCCGATCATTTCCGATCGTTTTAGATGGGTTGAACGTTCGCTGGCCGCTGGCGCGCTGAGAGGCGTCAGGCAGCATTCAGGACAACACCTGCAGCGGAATACGGGTAGTGTGCCATACCGATTGGTGGAGGCACAGACAGCCCTCGGCGACTATTACAGCACACATCGTGCTCACCATGTACTTGCCATGCTATGGGGCAGCCATGGACGCTGGCAAGGGCCAAGAGTCATCGGGTACCGCTCCGTTTCAGGTGGAATTGCAAGGCGATCAGGGCAGCCACAAAGGCTGCACCTACCGGCCCCTATCGAGGCGCCGAACCGGCCCGACTGATTGGCGTCCCTGCGTAACGCGCAGGCAGGATGGATAGGTCCACAAATCGGTGCAGTGTCGTGTCAGGGGTATGGAAATCAATGACATTTCCTGACATTTCCTGACATTCCGCAGTTTCGTCCTCGATCTGCTCCCTGATCGGGTCGGGGAGTCCCGTAACGGGGTGACGTTGGCTGCAGGTGAACGTCTCATGTGTTTGGCAAATTGACCATCAAGTGCGTCGGACGCGAGGTTGGACTTGCGGATCATCGAGTCCGCTATATTCGATGGTAAAGAGGTGTCATGAGGCTTGGCAAGGGGCTTCTGTCAGCAAAATCAGGAACGATGTACCGGTCCTCCCAGCTTTTTACCATCTTCGGCTTCTACCTTTGGACCGGAAAGGAGTGGCCGGACTGAATATCCGGCATTGACCACAATGCGCCGCAGGCAATCCTGTATACTTCGACGAGAATTGAAAAACGGGGTGATCAGCCGTGCTGGAGCAGTTCAAGGTAGGACACGACGAGGCGGAATTTGTCCAAGGCGAGGACCTGAAATCCACTGTGGCGGGGATTTTCCGGCACCTGGGAGTGCCTGCAGACGACGCGGAGCTGGGCGCAGACGTGCTGGTGCTGGCGGACCTGCGCGGGGTGGACTCCCACGGCGTGTCCAACATGCTGCGCAGCTACGTGAACGGCTACCAGGACGGGTCAATCAACCCGCGTCCGGACTGGAAGGTGATACGGGAGACACCGTCCACCGCGACGGTCGACTCGGACCGAGGGCTGGGGACGATTATCACGCCCAAAGCCATGGGGATCGCCATCGAGAAGGCCCGCAACGTGGGCGTAGGGATGGTCGCGATCGGCAACGCGCGGCACCTGGGGATGGCGTCTTACCACTCGATGCTGGCCCTTGAGCACGACATGATCGGCGTCTGCATGACGAGCTGCCCGCCGTCGGTACTGCCCACATTCGGTGCCGAGCCACGGCTGGGCACCAACCCCATCGCGATCGCCGTGCCGACAGGAGATGAGGCTGCGTTCGTGTTTGACGCGGCGACCAGCTCCGTGGCCGTCAACAAGATAACGCATCGCGCAACGGCTGGGCGCCGACATACCGGCTGGCTGGCTGGCAGAGCAGGACGGCACGCCGATCATGGAGGAGAAGCCGGCCCCGGACAACTACTGGCTGCTGCCCGTGGGAGGAAGCCGCGAGGGTGGTTCTCACAAGGGCTACGGGCTTTCGTGCGTGGTGGACATCCTCGCCGGCGTACTGACTGGCTTTGGTTACGGCGCGGTGCCGGGCCGCCCCAACTTCGGGCATTACGTGGCCGCCTACAGCGTGGACGCGTTCACCGACGCGGGCCATTTCAAGCAGGAGATGGACGAGTGGGTGCGGATGATGAACGCCACCAAGCCGGCGCCGGGACACGACCGCGTGCTGGTAGCCGGACAGCCTGAGGCGGAGATGGAGGCCATCCGGCGGGACGAGGGCATTCCGCTGCACCCCGATGTCTCCCAGTCGATCCGCGACATCTGCGCCGAGCTGGGCGTGGATTGCTCGTTTTAGGGGGAGATAGTCAAAATGGTCGCCAACAAGAGGAGGTGAACCCTTGGCCGAGGGCAGCGCAACACAGATCGAAGGGATCGAGATAAGGAATTATCGTCTGTTCCGCCATCTGATATTGAGCGATCTGCCTCGCATGACTGTGGTTGTAGGCACCAATGGTTCGGGAAAGTCCACTTTATTTGACATATTCTCATTCTTGCGAGATGCCTTGAACCGTAACGCCGCCGCTGCCGTTGCGCAACGGGGGGATTCCAAGAACTGGTCAGCCGTGGAGCTAGAGGGCCTATTGAATTCACCATCAAATTTCGAGAAAGCGGAGGACGGCTGGCCTCCTATACCGTTCAAATAGCCTCTGAAAACGGTCAGGTTGTCGTGAACCGCGAAGTGCTGAGTTATCGGAAAGGTCAACACGGTTGGCCTTGGCGTTTCGTAGATTTCAAGAAGGGGATTGGTAAAGCAATAGTCAATGAATCAGAATATGGGCAAAAATGGAAATCTGAAGAGTGGGAGTATCACGAACTGCACGACCCCAGCACTTTGGCCATTAAGGGCTTGGGTCAGTTTAAGGACTTCCGTATTGTCTCTGAACTTTGCAGCATGATTGAAGGCTGGTACGTTCCGAGATTCCATGTTGTCGGCGCTGCTTCCAGCATCGAGGACTGGTATGCCGACCGTCTTTCATCCAGCGGAGGCAATGTTGCTCAAGTTGCAAAATACCTCCTCGAAAATCATCCCGGCCGCTTTAACCAGATTCTCAATGTGATGAGTCGAAGAATTCCGGGCATAAGCAGCGTCGAAGCTAAAACCACCGGCGACGGTCGATTGGTTTTAAGTTTCCAAGACAAAAACTTTAATGATCCGTTCATTGGTCGATTTGTATCCGACGGCACTATGAAGATGTTTATGTACCTAGTGCTGCTTTATGCCCCCGAACCTCACCCTTTACTGGCGGTCGAAGAACCTGAAATACAGTTCTATCCCGAACTGCTCCAGGAACTAGCCGAAGAATTTAGAGCATATGCCCAGCGCGGCGGCCAGGTGTTTGTCTCTACTCACTCGCCTGATTTTCTTAACGGAGCGGAGTTGGAAGAAATCTTCTGGCTGGAAAAGCGCGGGGGATTCAGCACGGTAAAAAGGGCCTCTGACAACGAGTTGCTGCGTAATCTGGCAACTGGCGCGCTACCTGGCTACATGTGGAGTCACAATATGTTCGAGGGATCTGGGATTTCTTGGGCAAAGTAATTTTCCTCCTAGAGGAACCTTCGATGCGAAACCTGCTTGATGGTCTCCTGCCTCGAATTTTCCCTGAGCTAAGTTTTTATTGTGTGCCTCACGGAGGAAAAGATGATTTGGAAAACAATATCCCTCGCCTACTTAGAGATTGGAGGGAACCTGGAGCCAAATTCGTCGTAGTTAGAGATAACGATAATGCCAATTGCTTAGTATTGAAGGAGGAACTTAGGCAACTATGCCATCAAGGTAGACGTGCAGATACTCTGATCAGAATAGTGTGTCAAGAGCTTGAGGCTTGGTATCTAAGCGAACCAAGGGCGTTGGCAGACGCCTACGAAGACGAAAATCTCCAAAACATCGGAAGAAGGGCACGCTACCGTCATCCGGAATCACGCGCAAAGCCCTCTGAGGATCTCAAAAAGCTGATACCTACGTTTCAGAAGACTGACGGCGCCCGCAGAATGGCGCACCACCTTACCCGGGAGGGCAACCGCTCCCACAGCTTCCCAGTCTTCCTGAACGGAGTCGAGAGGCTGCTCGCAAGTAGTGCCCGATAGCCCGCTATCTAGGCGTGGGGCGGGCGCATGGTGTGCCAGGGGGTGTGCTGCTCGTAGGCGTGGGCTACCTTCAGTACCGTTGACTCGTCGAAGGGGCGGCCACCGATCTGCAGGCCGATGGGCAAGCCCTCTGAGTTGAAGCCGCAGTTGATGGAGATGGCCGGGGCGCTGGCAAGGTTGAAAGGCCGCGTCATCACCGGGGGCAGGTCGCGGGCCATTTCCTTGGACGTTATTGTCGAGTCCTGACCCACGATTGGAGCGCAACTCTTGGACGTGGGCAGAATTAGGACGTCGCAGGTTTCAAGGGCGCCGAGCACCTCGCGGCGCACCATTTCCCGCAGCTTCTGAACCTTCTGATATGCCTGAGCCGGCATGATGCTGCCAGTGAGCAGGCCGACCCGGTTGGAGTGGCCGAATTCCTGGAGCCTGTCGCGGATCCAGTCGCGGTAGGTGAACGAGGCCTCGGTGTTGATCAACGCGGCGGCCAGGTTCCACCGTGGACGGTTAGGGGCAGTGACACGTCCTCCACAGTTGCGCCAAGTTCTTCCAGAACCGCAGCGGCCGCCCTGATGCCGTTCCTGACCTCGGGGTCCACGATTTCGCTTTCGATCAGCTCACGGATGGCGCCTACGCGGACGCCGGAGAGATCGCCGCCCAGAGCGTGCCGGTAGTTGGGGACGGGCGTGTCCCAGGAATAGGGATCCCTGGGGTCGTGGCCGGCGATGGCTCCGAGGGTGATGGCGGCGTCCTCGACAGTGCGGGAGATGGGGCCGACTTGGTCCATGGACCACGAGCCGGGGGCCACGCCGTAGCGGCTGACCCTACCCCAGCTGGGGCGCAGGCCGACGATGCCGCACCAGGCGGCGGGACGACGGATGGAGCCGCCCGTGTCCTCGCCGAGGGACGTGGAGCAGAGGAAGGCGGAGGTGGCTGAGCCGGAGCCGCCGCTGGAACCGCCGGTGAAACGGTCGAGATTCCACGGATTTCGGTTGAGGCCATAGCGCTGGGAGCCGCCGAGGGCAAACTCTGTGAGGTTGGTCTTGCCCAGCAGGACGGCCCCGGCTCGTTTCAGGTTGGCAATGGCGGTGGCATCTTCGTCGGGTATGAAATCGGCCATCAGGCGGGAGCCGACGGTCGTGCGGATGCCCTTGGTCCATATCTGGTCCTTGACCGCCACGGGAATGCCGTGCATCGGCCCGAGGTAGTCTCCGCGAGCGATGGCCTGTTCTGCCTCTTCGGCGGCAGCCATGGCCTCGGTGCGGCAGACGGTCAGATACGAGTTGAACTTGAAGTTCAGGGCCTCAATGCGATCAAGGTAAGCGGAGGTCGCCTCGACCGGGGAGACCTCGCGCGTCCTGATGAGTTCCGAAAGTTCCACCGTGGTCAGGAAAGGAATGTCCTGATTGTCCATCAGACTCTCCCGTGGCGACCGTCTGTTTTCCGATAAGAGTGTAAGTGCGCTAGTCTTCCTTCAGCGCCGGGATCACTTCTTTGCCGAAGAGTTCGAGGGAGCGCATGGTGTCCTGGTGGGACAGCGGGCCGCCCTGGGCTTCCAGCAGCAGCGCGCCGATGCCCAGTTCCTCCTTGATGTAGCGAAGCTTCTTGATGACAGTGTCGGGGCTGCCTACGACCAGGTGATGCTCGTCCTGCAGTTCCTGGTAAGACAACTCGTTGAGAGGCCTGGAGCGGCGCAGGGCGTTGGCGGCGGCACCGGCGGCAGAGAAGTATCCGGGGGGCGACCAGTATTCGCGCGGGCCCTTCAGCGGGTGGCCCATGCGCCACATGAACGCCTTGCCGGACTCCTGCGCCTTCTCGTCGGTGTCGTTGACGTGGGCGCAGATCATGAAGGCAAACTTCTCGGGGCCTGGATCCCAGCCATCTTCGTTGGCGAATTTGCGGTAGTTGCCGAACAGGTTGCGGGCCACATCCATCTTGGTCAGGAAGGCGGCGTAGGTGTAGCGGTTTTCAGCGGCCCACTTGACTGTCTCGGGGCTGCCGGTGCCGGGCACCCAGCAGGGCGGATGGGGCTGCTGGATAGGCAGCATCCACGGGTTGACGGCGCGGTAGTGGTAGTGCTTGCCCTCCCAGCGGAAGGGGCCAGGCGTGGTCCAGGTCTTCTTGATCAGGTCGTGGCATTCCTCGAACCGCTCGCGGTTGTAGACCGGGTTGGTGTTGTTGGCCCAGCTCTCGATGCCGATGCCGCGCACGAAGCCGGAGATTATGCGCCCGCCGGAGATGACGTCCAGCATGGCGATCTCTTCGGCCAGCCGCACGGGGTTGTCGGAAGTGGGCAGCATGTTGCCCAGCATCAGGATCTTGGCGCGGTTGGTGACGCGGGCCAGGATGCCGCCGGTAATGTTTACCTCGACGTCCATGCACGACGGGGTGTTGTGGTGCTCGTTGATCATCAGCCCGTCGAAGCCCACTTCCTCAGCGTACTGGTATTCATCCAGGTAGCGTTTGAACAGGTCATGGGCCGTCCCTGGGTCGAAGTAGGTGTTGGGAAATGTGAGGCGCATTGAGGGATAGTCGTCGACCACAGACTCAGGGAAAGCGGGATAGGGGAACTCTGTGAAATAGAAGACTTCAAAGGACATGGTGCGGGCTCCGTTCTAAAAGTTGGGGCAGACGATCCTATGGTTTCGGTAATAAGTTGTAAGAAGCAGCTAATTCTGCGACAGAAGCCAGTCTAACAGAGCGTCGACAAAGGCGTCGCCGTAGCCGGGGGAGTGGCCGCTGCCTTCGCCTTTCCACAGCTCTATGTTGATGCCATCGGCGCAGCCGGACTCCAGGCGGTAGGCCTGCGTTTCGGCGCCTGGCACGAATGCGTCCAAGTCCAAGGATGCGTGGGGCTGCGGATCTTCGGGCCATTCGCAGCCAGCGCGCACGCCCCAGCGCATCACCATGTCCAGAGCACCCGCGTAGAAGGCCGGTTCGCCGTCGCTCTTGGCGCTCGGCTCATCTTCGTTGCCCTCAAACAGGATGACGTTGTCAGCAGTGCCGTGGATGTGCAACACGGACACGGACGGGTGCGCCGTCGCAGCTGGAGTCTTCGACATAACTCGTACCGGCCAGGCTGGCCACGGCACGGAGGCCGGGTAGGCCCTTGCAGGCCAGGTGGTAGGCCATGAAGCCACCGTTGGAGTGTCCGAAGAGGTAGACCGGGCCAAAGTCCTTCAACTTCCTTGCCCTGTTAACCAATTCTGCCAGGTAAGTGACGTCGTCCGCGCCGGACTTGCCTGAATAGCTCTGGTCGGTGGGGTTCCAGAACCGGTTGCCCCCTTCGTCCATGGTGCCGTTTGCCAGCAGCAGCGCGAACCCTGCTTCGTTCAGGCGTTCGTACAAGGGAACGTACAAGCTGTGGTCGGCGGAATTGCCCCCGTAGCCGTGCAGGGAAACTATGAGGGGAGTTTCTCCCTCGATGATTATCAAGGGCATTATCAGTATTGATCGGTCTTCAACGCCGGGAGACAAATCATCGATGTTATAGACTTCGCCATCGAACGCTTCAGCCAACCTTCTGGTTCGCTCCATTACCGGACCTTCGAGAAGTGCCAGCCGCTCCTCCATTTTCTCGAACCAAGTCTTGAGAAGCGGCAGAAAACCCTCGATTCCCGACGCGGTATTCTCCAGTTCCCTTAGCCTGGAATCCAGATCTGAGAGGCGCTCATTGTTTCGGATCTCCTCCTCTACCAGGTTGGCCAGTTGTTCTTCCTGTTCCGCTTCGAAGTCTGCGACCTCTTCCTCGCGCTCCCTGGCCTCCTCAGCAGCTTCCTGGACCTCCACGAAATCAACCTGCTCCTGGCGAAGGACCGCAATTTGGCTCTTCAATTCGGCGTTCTCGTCCGAGAGGGACTCGAGCGATTCTTCCAGCGAGTGGGCCTTGGCCTCCAACTCCAGCAGGCGTTCCTCCCTAGCCGAGTCCTCGTCTCCTCCATTGCAGGCAAGCAAAAAGGCGGCCAGCAAAAAGCAGGCCGCCAGCAGTGCAGTGTAACGCCAGGATCCGGCCCTTCCGGCCGATAGCGATCCCATGGGCCTCATTGGCTAGGCCAGGAACTCCAGTGCGGTCTTGACGAACTCGTCGGGCTTTTCGACCTGAGGGGAGTGGCCGCAGTTCTCGATGACAACCAAATCCGAGCCGGGGATGGCCTCCTGGTAGATGCTTCCGCACTCGACGGGGACGATGCGATCCTGACGTCCCCAGACCATGCGGGTGGGCACATTAACGCGCTTGAGCAGGCCACCGGCCAGGCGTGGGTCGTACATGTATGGCTTCCAGGTGAGGCGGACCGCCATCTCGCGGTTCAGGTCGGCGGTGAGCTGCTCCTCGGGGGAGAGTTCCCGCTTATAGATAGCGTCGTAGTCCGCAACCTGGCTGGTGTCGTGGAACATCAACTCGGTGACCTGGGCCGGGCTGATGATGAAGATGTCGGTGATTTCGCCCTCTTGCGGCTTGACACCGGCGGCGCCCGACCAGCATCAGCTTGCCGACGGCGTTGGTGCAGGTGGCCACCAGCTCAGCAGCGATCCAACCACCCATGGAAAAGCCGATGGTGCGGACATTTTCCAATCCGAGAGCGTCAAGGTACCAGGTGTAGAAGGCGGCCATGTCCGGGATGCTCTCGAGCCAATCGGGCCGCGGAGACTTCCCGTATCCGGGATGGGACGGGTAGTAGACGGTGTAGTGCTCGGCCAAGGCATCGGCGAAACGGAGCCAGCCGGAATTGCCCCCGGCGCCGTGGAGCAGCAGCAGAGGCTCTCCGCTTCCTCCCTTGAGCGTGTGGACTCCATTCCGCCTACATCAACAGTTTCTTCGGTAAACGCGGGCATGTTCTATCTCCTTCGATCTATCGTCATTTGATGATTCCGAGGTAAGGGCGCACGGTTGTGCGCCCCTTCCAATTTGACTTCTCGTTTCAGCGGGACTACTCCGCCTGCATTTTCTGGAACGGATCGGTCAGTTCCAGGTCCTCGCCGATTTCGCGCAGGGCGGGCAACACTTCCTCTCCCATAAGCTTCAAGCAGTTCATGGTGTCGGCGTGAGTGGTGTCACCGTCGTTGGTCCAGATGCCAAGGATGCCGGGGCGCAGTTGTCCCAGCACGTCGCGCAGCTTGCGCACCACGGTTTCGGGGCTACCGACAATCCAGCGGTTGGAGGCGAGAATTTCATCGTAACTGGCCTCCTCCAATCCCAAGCCGAGGAATGGGTCCTTGCGGACGCGGCCCTGGTAGCGGGCGACGCGGGGGTCCTTCATGCTGCCGCTGTAGCCGATGGGCATCATGTAGTCGCGGGGCATCGGCACCCGGCCCACGCCGACGTTGCCGGTCAGGAAGCCCTTGGCCGACTCGTAAGCCTTCTCGTCGGTGTCCTGAACGTGGATGCGGCACAGGTAGCCGAAGTTCTCCGGGCCGGGCTCGTAGCCGTTCTCGCGGGCCGTCTCGGTGTAGATGTCCATCATGTCCTGGGTCCCCTGCGGATCGGTCTCGAGGTAGATGTAGGGATAACGGCGCTCGGCGGCCCATACCAGCGTCTCCGGGCTGCCCAGTCCGGGGATCCAGACGGGCGGGTGCGGCTGCTGGATGGGTCGCTCGAAGGGGTTGACCACCCGGAATGGTAGTGCTTGCCCTCCCAGCGGAAGGGGCCGGGGGTGGTCCAGGTCTTGATGAGCAGGTCGTGGGCTTCCTCGAACCGCTCCCGGTTGAACAGCGGGTTGACGTTGGCGGCCAGGCTCTCGACGCCGGTGCCGCGCACGAAGCCAGACACCAGCCGCCCGCCGGAGATCATGTCGATCTCGGCCAGTTCTTCAGCCAAGCGCAGGGGGTTGTCGAACACTGGCAAGGGGTTGCCCAGCAGCACGATCTTGGGTGTCTTGGTGTTGCGGGCGAGGATGGCAGCCTCTAGGTTCATGGTGGCACCGAGGCAGGTGGGGGTGTTGTGGTGCTCGTTGAGCATCAACCCGTCGAACCCGACCTCCTCGCAGTACTCGTATTCGTCCAAATACTCGTTGTACTGCCTTGCGCCGACCATCGGATCGAAGTTGCTGTTGGAAAAGGTGAGCCGCACGGCCTGGTTGGGGCTGTTACGGACAGCTTCCTCCGTGTAGTTGGTGTAGGCCCGCTCGGTAAACCGCATCAGGAACATGGCAATCGTCTCCTATGTTGATCTCATATCAAGGGTTGTAGTTGCCTATCCATTGGACTCGAGGGTGGGAATTTTGCGCCAGTCGGTAAAGTGGTTGATCGGCGGTCCAAAATTCGCAGTCCAGCGCTTCGGCGAGGGCAAGATTGTGGGAGTCGTATGCCAGCCGCTGGTTGAGTTCGACAGCCAGATCAATGGCCCGGTCGTGCAATAAGCGGGACGGACGAAAGGCGATGCCTGAATCATACAATTCTGATACAAATTTCTTGACATCGCCCACGGCCAGTAGTCCTTCTTGGATCTTCTTTCGGAGTGCGGAAGTGAATCCTGAAGCCATAAAGTCTGGAGCAAATAGTTCGACTCCCCCACTTTCCCAATTTGAGGCGAGTGCTCTGGCTTGATCGGTGAATTGTTCTGTGACAAACACCTTCACAGCCAAGCTAGCGTCGACAACTGCCATTGCCTTCCATATCCCCGTGCCGTTCCTCTCGAGCCTCCCGTATCAAATCCGCAGAGTCAGTAACGCTCAGGCGCCCACGAAATACTGCTTCCCCAGCCGCTATCATGCCTTCGGCTGAAAACTTCTTGAAAGGCGCTTCTCCGCCTAATTCTTTCTTTACTGCATCCCAGCAAAATTGTTCGATTGTGACACCCTTTTGCTCCGCAGCCTCACTTAACCTATGTTCTATGTCTGCGTCAATCTCAATTGTGATGCTCTTATTCTTGCTCGTCATGTCCAACCTGTCAGGAGCCCGATTTGAAAGAGATCGAGCTTATCGTACCCGCGCACCCTGTGAGGGTCAAGGAACGGGGCGAGTGTTACGGGTGCCGCAGGAACGACCCCGGAAGAGCGTGTGCTATATTTGAGGACAGGATAAGTCAAGCCGCCGTCAGGCACCGACCGGGTCGGACGCGGCTAGTATAAAGACAAGTTTGAGGTTCCTGTTTATGCCCAAAGTCCTGGTATCAGATCCCATCGGCCCCGAGGGTGTTTCCCTGTTGGAAACAGGGGCAGAAGTTGACGTGAAGACGGGCATGAAGCCCGCAGAGTTGCTGGAAACCGTGGGCGGCTACCATGCCCTGGTGGTTCGCAGCGAGACCAAGGTTAATAGAGAGGTTATCGCAGCAGGAAAGAACCTGCAGGTCATCGCCCGCGCTGGCATCGGCGTGGACAACATCGATCTCGACGCAGCCACCGGCGCTGGCATTGCTGTGGTCAACGCACCCACGGGCAATACTGTGGCGGCGGCTGAACACACGATGGCGCTGATGCTGGCCCTGGCCCGCAACGTTCCCGGCGCGCACCACTCGCTGCAGTCGGGCGAGTGGAAGCGCAGCGCCTTCATGGGCGTGGAGGTGCGCGACAAGACCCTCGGCATCTGCGGCCTTGGCCGGGTGGGGACCGAGGTAGCCCGGCGAGCACAGGCCTTCGGGATGCGGCTCGTGGGCTACGACCCGTTCGTTGCGCCCGAATATGCCAGACGTATTGGCGTGGACCTGTTGTCCCTGGATGACCTGCTGGCCGAATCGGACTTCGTTACCCTGCATACGCCCTTGACCGAGGGCACGCGCGGCATGCTGGGAATGAGGCAAATTGAAACAATTAAACCCGGAGCCCGCGTCATCAACGTGGCGCGTGGCGAGTTGGTGGACGAGGCTGCGCTGCTGGCCGGATTAGAATCGGGACGCCTGAGCGGAGTGGCGCTGGACGTATTCAGCAAAGAGCCGCCGGAACGCGGGCCACTGGTGGAGCACCCGAGGGCCATAGTTACGCCGCACCTGGGGGCCTCCACGCGGGAGGCACAGCGAGAGGTCGCCATCGAAGCGGCGGAACAAGTACTGGCCGTGCTCAGAGGCGAGCCTGCCCGGAACACCGTGAACGCCCCCTTCGTCGCGCCCGAAGTGCACGAGGTGCTGGCCCCGTTTGTTCCGGCTGCTTCGGTTGTCGGCAAGCTATTGGGCTTCCTCTCGGAGGGGCAGATCACCGGCATCACGGTCAGCTACGAAGGCGAGATCGCGCAGCACGACTGCCGGATGCTGCAAGCTGCGGTGCTGGCAGGCTTGTTGGCTCCGGTCAGCACGGTCAACGTCAACCTGATCAACGCTCCGGTGCTGGCGCGAGAGCGGGGGTGGAGCGTGACCGATCAGAGCAACCGGGTCTCGAGAGAATATGCCAGCCTCATCTCGGCTACGCTGCAGACAGCCAACGGCAGCCTGTCACTATCCGCGACTTCCATGCGGGACGAGACTCACATTGTGAAGTTCAACGACTACTGGATGGACATCGTTCCCAACACTCCCTACCTGCTCTTCGTAGACAACCGCGACCAACCCGGCTCCATCGGCGCTGTTGGGACAATCGCGGGACGGCACAACATCAACATCAGCTTTATGGGGGTGGGTCGGATACAGCTTCGTGGCCAAGCAATGATGGTCATCGGCCTCGACGATCCGGTGCCGTCCCACGTAATGGACGAGATCAGGGCCCTTTCCCACATCGCAAACGCCAGGGTGGCCACCCTGGCCGGGTAATTTAGGAGGAACGCTGTGGGCGACAAGATCGGCATCATGGGCGCGGGTGCGCTGGGAAGCTACGTAGGCGCATTCCTGTCCCGGGAGGGAGAGGACGTAACCTTCATCGACATGTGGCCAGATCACGTGGAGAAGATGCGAACCGACGGGTTGCATGTCACTGGGAGCCAAGGACCGTTCACCGTACCGGTCAAGGCCATGCATCTGACCGACGCCCAGGGCATCAACGAGCAGTTCGACTTTGTTTTCATTTCGGTCAAGTCCTACGACACCGAGTGGGCCACGCACTTCATTCGCAGATATGTCAAAGAAAACGGTTTCTTTGTTTCCCTGCAGAACTGTTGGAACGACGTAACCGTCGCGGGCATCGTGGGCGAGGAACGGACCATGGGCTGCATCGCCTCTCACATCGAGGTGGCGCTGTGGGAACCTGGGCACGTTACCCGCGGAGGAGCGGTGGGCCGCGACCACGGCCACCACGTGTTTCGGGTGGCGGAGCTAACGGGCGCCGAGTCGCAGCGGGCCTCGATGGTCGCTGGGCTGCTGGACAATATCGACGGGGCTTACTCTTCCAACAACCTGTTCGGCGAGCGCTGGGCCAAGCTCTGCCAGAACTCCATGGGCAACGGCATATCCGCCGCTTCGGGGCTGGGGTCCCAGGAGATGGCCGAGGATCCCCGGTGCCGCCTCATCCGCATTCATCTTTGCAAAGAGGGAGCGATGGTGGGACTGGCCATGGGCCTGAACGTGGTGGACATCAACGGCCTGCCCGCGCAAACCTGGGCGGACGCCGATAAAGGCGACGTGTACGAGGAGCTGGACGCCCTCCTGTCGGCCCGCGGTGGCCGGGTGAACTGGCTGGCCTCCATGGCACAAGATGTTTACAAGGGACGGCGTTCGGAGATCGACTTCATGAACGGACTGGTCGCCGCCAAGGGTCAGGAGCTGGGCATCCCTACGCCGTTCAACGACGCAGTCATTGAGGCCATGCATGGCGTGGACGACGGCACATTCCCGCAGAACCCCGAGCACGTGGACCGTGTGTTGCGCGCCGCTGGTCGTTAATACAACACTGCGAGAAAGACAGCCGACAGTGACGCGGGGCTCCAATTTCCTCAGGGCAATCGGCCCCAGACGGACAGTTCCAGACGCACCGAGGGAGGGCAGCCATGTTCATCAAAGTTGAACCGGCAGAATTCTTCATGTACCGGGTTATCCTGGTGTTTGACCTGGAAGCCCCGAACTCCGAGGACCAGCATGTCCGCGACTACATGACCGAATGTGAGCTAGAACCCAAGTACCAGCACATCGGGGATTTCGAGGGCAGCAATTGCGAGCTCATGCAGTTCGGGGGCTGTTACCTGGGCAGGCACCTGGGCAAGATCTCGGAAATCCAGCGGAACCAAGTGGAGCGGGAAATCATAACTGCTGAGATCGGGTTAGCGCTGGACGACGAAGGAGACCCCGTCGTGGTCCCCGACGATGTTCGAGAGGAGACCCTAGCTCAACTGGTCCAGGCCTTTCATCAACCCGAAGTCTTTCAGCCAAATGAGGAGGGCCTGTTGGAGGCGGTGCTGGACGCTCCCTCGGTGCGCCAGGCGGCGCGGGAGTTGCTGGCTGCCGCCGGTTAAAGGCAGTCCTGGTTCGCCCTAAAACTACGCAACCATTCCATTGGAATCAGAAGCCCCGGCAAATTAATGCCGGGGCCTTTTGCGTCTGCAACTTGTTACGAGCGGCAGATATGGATATGGCTATCTAAATTCACTGGAGCGGGTGATGGGAATCGAACCCACATGGCTAGCTTGGAAGGCTAGAGCTCTACCACTGAGCTACACCCGCCTCTGGTTGGCATGGCCTAACATCCGGCCACGCTCACAATTATAGCCCTCACGGGCACGGCATTCCAGTTTCGACGGGGTAATTTCAGTCCCGGAGACGGCGGGCGCCTGGTCGGGTGGTCCTGCCTGTGGTTCCACCGGACTGAGACTCGGAACCATTCGTGCTGGCTGATTCGCCGGGACCGCCGTCGCCGTCCGTTCCTTGCCGGCCGCCGTCAGAACCTGGTCGGTTAACCCGCCGGGAATCGTCCGACACCACGAAGCTCAGCCGTTCGCGCAGTTGGTATATCACGCGGTCTACCTCGTATCCGGGGGGTCTGGTAGCGGGAGAGAGAATGGCGTACGATTTCCAGTCCAGCTTCCATCTCCGGCCAGACCACTTCCTGTACCCCCATGTGTTGGAGGTCCTCCCCTTCTGAACGAGCCCGTACCCGCGCCACTATGTCGAGCCCAGGTTGCAGCTGCAGTGCCTGGTAGGCGGTAATTTCCACCGAGACCGGATCGCCCGTGGTGACCACCAACAGCCCAGCCTGCGGCACTCTAGCGGCACGCAGGACCTCGACGCGATCTGATGACCCGAGCACCGTGTGGTATCCATCTGCGCGCCACTCGTCCAGGGTTCGGGGGTCGAGGTCCACGACTGTGAATGGTACATTGTGTTCCCGGAGTTCCTGGGCGACCAGAGAACCCACGCGCCCCAAACCGCAGATGACGACATGGCCGAACGTCTGCCGAGGTCGTTCTTCGGCGTGGGGATCGCCAATGCGGTATGGACGCAGCACCCGGAAGCGTCGGCTCAGGACCGTGACCAAATGCGTTCCGCCGGATATCACCGGAGGGCCAGCCGCCATGGTCAGCACCGCCGAGACCACGATGAGCGAGTGGAATGACTGGTCAACCACCCCAAGCGTAAGCGCACCCGCCACAAGGATGAAGCTGAACTCGCCTATCTGCCCCATCCCCACTCCGGTCAGCAGGGCGGTGCTGGGCAGATAGCCCGCAACCCGGACAATGATGACGGTGACGATGAACTTGATGAGCACGGCCGAGCCGATGACCGCCAGCACACTGGGCCAGTGCTGATAGATGAATACCGGGTCGGTGAGCATACCCAGGGAGGCGAAAAAGAGGGCCGCAAAAATGTCCCTCAAAGGGGCCACTTCGGCCAAAGCCCAGTGACCTATGTCGGACTCGCTGAGCAACAGACCTGCAACGAAGGCTCCCAATGCCGCCGACAGCCCCACAAAGTTGGTGAGGCCGGAAATGGCGAAAACGATTGCCATCACCATCAAGACGAATACTTCCCGAGAACCCAGCAGAGTGATGCGGCTCATGGCCCATGGCATCACCTTTATGCCCAGCAGTGCCCACACCGCCGATGATTACTACCGTTTTAAGTATTCCGATCCCCGCCTCTCTCAGAACCTCGGCCCCGCCGCTACCGACAAAGGCCGGCAGCATGGCGATCATCAGAATGAAGACCAGGTCCTGCATCAGGAGGAAACCAGTCAGGAGGCGCCCGTGCAGGCTATGAATTTCGCCCCTGTCCGTCAGTGTTTTGAGCACCACCATGGTGCTGCTCAAAGCACCCACCATTCCCAGTATGATAGCCGTGGTCGTGTCCAGTCCCAGCAACAGGCCTATGGGAGTGAGCAGGGCCGCCGTAACACCGATCTGCAGAATGCCGCCGACTACGATGACCTTGCCGAGGCTCACCAGCTCCCGAAAGGAAATCTCGATGCCAATGGCAAAGACGAGGAGCACGACACCGATCTCGGCCAGCTTGTGCACCGTTGGAACGTCCGCTACCGTGGCAAAATGCAGCCATTCGTCGCCGGTCCTCCCAGCAACATAGGGCCCGATGATCATGCCCATGGCCAAGTAGCCCAGCACTGGCGGGGCCCGCAGGACACGGGCCACGACCCCGCCCACAAAGGCAGCGATGACAACGGTTACCAAGTCAACAAATAGTTGACTTTCGAGGTGGGCCTCGCCCATTTCCCTCCGAGAAACCCGGAACTAAACTCGAAACAGAATTGGAGAAATTGCCGCTATTATAGGTTCCCAGCCGATGGGTACGCCAATCGGTGCGGCAGGCGCGTCACGTTCCAACCGATATTTCCTGACGTGAGACTGTACCAAATGCTCTGTATCGGCCGATCATCGTGCTATCGAAAGCGATGGTATTTAACCATAAATTTTTTCCTGGAGGTAAACCATGGCAGTTGAACACCGGGACTATCCGGACATAGCTCCAGCGGGTCCCACGTACAGCCGGGGGACGCGCGCCGGCAATCTGCTGTTCGTTTCTGGCTGCACAGCTCGCGGCTCCGACGCGCAGGGAAAGCCGTTGATGGAACAGCTGGAGGAGACTCTCAAGCGGGTTGTCGGTGTCGTCAAGGCGGAAGGAGGCAGTCCGGGGGACATCGCCAAGATCACCTGTTTCGTCACCAGCATTGCGGACTGGACCAGCCAACCGGAAAAACAGGCGGAGATATTCGAACGGTACTTCCAGGGGAAGTACCCGGCCAATTCGCTGATTGAAATCAGCGCGCTGGCGGAGCCGGGCCTCGACGTGGAAATTGAGGCGATAGCCGTCCTGGGCTAGCTGCCCTGTTCCGACCCCTTCTGCCCCTCGGCAATCCAGCGCCGAATGTTGTCGGGACTGAAGGGCATGCTGTTCACCCGTACGCCGAAGGGGGCGAGGGCATTGGCGACGGCGTTGCCCAAGGCGGCGCCGGTCGCCAGGATCGCACCTTCGCCCGCGCCCTTGACGCCCAGCGGGTTCAGGGGTGAAGGGGCCTCCTCGGTTATCACGGTCTCTATGTCCGGTATGTCCTGGCTGGTGGGCAGCAGGTAGTCCATCAGGGTACCCGAGATCAGTTGCCCGCTGATGTCATACACGAGCTCTTCCAACACGGCGCCGCCTATTCCCTGGGCTGCTCCACCCACCGACTGGCCGTGCATTGTCATCGGGTTAATGCAGCGCCCCACGTCTTCCACCACCACGTAGCGCAAGACCTCCAGCTTGCCCGTCTCCGGGTCCACTGCGACTTGGGCGGCATGGCTGCCGTAGGAGTAGGTCCATTCCTCGATGCGGAAGTATTCAGTGGCGTCCAGAGCGGTGTCGGGATCGTCGAACTGACGCTGGGATTCGGCCAGGGCCGCCACCTGCTGCAGCGTCAACTGCCTCTCGTCGACGGGGCTGTCCTTCACGACAACGATGCCGTGCCTAAGGTCGAGAACCTCTGGCGCAGTGTCAAGATAGCTGGCTGCCAGGGCCAGGATCCTGGCCCGCAGGGTCTGGCACGACATGTCAATGGCGCTCCCGGCCATCACCGTTGCCCGACTGCCAAAGGTGCCGATGCTGGCGGGTATGTAGTCGGTGCTGCCATGGAAAATGGTCACGTCCTCGATGGGCACGCTGAGCGAGTCGGCGCAGATCTGGGCCATCACAGTCTCATGTCCCTGCCCCATGGTGGTCGTGCCGAGGTACACCTCCACCGCGCCCTCCGGCGTGACCAGGACCCGTGCGCCTTCAAAGGGCCCAAAGCCGGTCGGTTCGACGTAGGAGGCGATACCAACGCCGTGGTAGCGCCCCGATTCGTCGGGGCCTTCCCTTGAGGACAACTCGCCGTAACCTATCTGCTCCAGAGTGCGGTTGAATGCGCTGGCGTAGTCCCCGCTGTCATACACCGTGTTGCGCCCGTCAAGGCGGGTGGGGCCAGCGTCGTAGGGCATCTCGCTGGCGGCGATCAGGTTGCGGCGGCGAAGCTCCGCCGGATCCAGACCGAGGTCGCCGGCTACCATGTCAAGCAATCGCTCCCGGATGAAAGTCCCTTCGAAGAATCCAGGGGCGCGGTAGGTACCAGCGCCCATCTTGTTGGTCATGACGCAGTTCACAGAGGCGTGGAAATTGGGAACGCGATAGGGGCCGGTCATCATGACGGCAGTCAGGGCCGGCACCACGCTGCCGTGGGTCCGTACGTAGGCGCCCATATCTCCGTAGACCGTCGTCTTCAGCCCCAGCAATGTGCCGTCGTTGCGTGCTGCGATCTCCACCTGGCACAGGACCTCGCGGGAGTGATTGGCCGAGGCAAGGTGCTCCACGCGGTCTTCGACCCACTTGACGGGACGCCCCAACCTGAACGAGGCAAAAGGAATCAGGAAATCCTCGGCGTAGAATTCGCCCCGGACTCCAAATCCGCCACCCACATCCGGCTCGATAAACAACCGTGGAATGGTATAAAGCTGACTAAAACAATCGCTTAGACGTTCTACCGGGCTCC